CTTGCTGCGCTGGTGCCTGGAGCCGTCCCTGCCAGTCTCAGTTGCTAAGTTTTCGCGTCCTTGTCATCTCACAACCTTGCTAGTTCTCTACCCCCAGAATCGTCTGGGGCAGGCAAGACCAAACTGCTAATGTAAAAAAGAAAAAAAAGGCAGAACCTCCCCTTTTTCAGAGTAGTGCGGGGGTGTGGAGAAAATGTTCATCCCTCTTCATCCATCAGAAAGAAGCAAAAGAAAAAGTCTCCCGTTCCGTTTTTTCCCCTTTGTAGGTTACTTTTAGCTGATTATTTCTCCCCGGCTTCCTGTGCAGAGTGGGCCTGATCCAAATCCCATTGAAGTCCATGGCTGTCTCTCCAGACCCCATTCCTTCAGCCTTCAAAAGGGCATCAATCTCCATTTATACCCTGGTCCCACGAGTTTCTTTTGTACCCGTGCTATAAATCCATGTGGCTGGGAACCAAGAGACGGGAAGCCCTTTTCTAGAGTTTTAAAGCCACCGGAAAACTTTGCCCAAATCCTTGTTGACTCTGCTGTATTGCAGCGAGTGGCTGCTGGCCATTTCAGTGTTCAGCCACAGGGCGCTAGGTGGTTCCTTTGTGCTGGTAGTCTGCAGTTTTCCCATTGGGGCTGGTGAACATAGACCCCCATGCAGGCCGTTATTCAGCCGACCGCTTCATCGCATGCTCACCATTAAAGCCAATCAGGGCCTTCGAGCTCACTCCGGCGAGAGGCCAAACAGCCGGGGCCAGATTTTTAAGGGGATTTGGTTGTCTGAAGAAGCAGATCGACACCGAGTAGGATTCTCAAAAGCACCGAGGCGCCAGACTCCCATTGACATCGGCGTTTGCAGCCTAGAGACCTAGCTGCATCTTTTGGTGCCTAAGTACCTCTGCCAATCGGGTTCTCCATGCTCAGTCCACCAGAGCACGTAAGCACATGCTTGGCTTGAAGCCTAGAAGGAACCCCACTGGAGGCAGGGCCAGAGTGAGGATCACAGTGGTCCCTTCTGACTTTAAAGTCTCTTTGCTGGATCCTAGCGTGCTCAGGATCTTACAGGACTGAGACCCTGATGACTTCAAGTCTCTCTCCCTCCCCAGCATTTCCCTACGGTGCACTTGATCCAGTCCCTCAGGACATACACAATGCGTTGCAGCAGCGTTTGCGTGCGTAAGATGTGGCATTCCATGGTGGTAATAAGCCATTTTCCTGTAGGGCCCGTAAATATGCCGTGCCTCTTCCAGCGCTGCTCCTAGCGAGGCGTGAAGATCACAGAATAGATAGCGTCCCGCTATCAAAACAGAGTGCCCCGGACATAGTTCAGACCATCAGGTCCCAATTACTGGAAACATTTGTAAGTATAATTGCGGCTTACGGTAAAAATAAATGCACTTTCTCAGTTACACGGGGAGTTCATGAGATCCCGCATGACCATCTGCGATGTGTTCAGAGATGTGTTTAAACAAGTTTCCTGCCGTGAGGGCAGGGGACTGGACTCAATGACCTCTCGAGGTCCCTTCCAGTCCTAGAGTCTATGAGTGCTGGGAGGGTGGGGCCGAGGCCTTGCACCGTTCCACTGGAGAGGGGTGAATTTCACACCCACATGCCTTGTTAAGCCCGCTGGATTCATGTGTCTGCATTTCCAGGTGTTTTAAACATGTCCATAATCTGAGCAGCTTCAACCCAATGTAAGAATGGCACCAATCCGTAAAATTAACCGCTGCGTTCTTCTGGCCTTGATCCTTTCACTCTAAAACCCATCTCACTTTGTTCTCTTGCAGCCAGAAATCACAGTGGAAAATCTCCCCGACTACTTGAGCCTGGAAAAACCCTTACTCATTTTGTTCAACGATGGAGGCCTAAATCGAAGAGTGAGACTGGAAATGTTGAGTTTGGCGAATGGAAAGGGCCACGAGGCGTTTCTCGCTTGCTGGATGAACCTGTGAGCATGAAAAAACATGTTTGCTTCTTTCCAGGACCTAGCTCACAGCATGGTTCTGCAGTTACTGAAAACACCATCGAGCTCGTTTTTTAACCCGTTATTCAGTGTGGGGATCATGGCAAGGATGCCTGCAGAAGCAGGAGGTCCATTGCAGTCCTAGTCCATATTCCTATGCTGACGCTGAGTTATTTAGTAGTGATTAAAGCCCAAAGAGCCAAGTGCAGTCAGAGTTGAATGATAACTGCCAGTGTTCAAGGAAAAGTACTAAACTATCAATTGAATCCTATCCTTGTTCTTATAACTGATGCTGCCCTGGAGTTTATTTTTCACCCATAGGAGAACAGGGTAAATGAATTCTTGCCGAAGGAGTTCATTTGATAGCTTTTACTTTCTGAGTAACTAACGTGAAAATACTCATGAACAATGCAATGAAGGGCTGGGTATGGGAGAGAAAGGAAAGTTTTCAAAAGAAGGAGCGAAAGAATTAAAGCAAAAGAAGGGACCGTCCCCGCCCCCACCATCAACCAAATTATGAAACAGAGCAAAGATAACAGCCAAGAAATGCAAAGTTGCAAGAGGGAAGATTTTTAGTCCCTCCCCGACATGTATTTTTAATTGTTCCATCTCTGAATGTTTTTCTCTTCCCTGAGGTGCCAAAATCAATGAATCGGAAAGTGCTCTGTGTACTGAGAACTGTATTGCGGGGTGGGGAGTAATTTAGTGGATGGGGAATGCACTTTTTTTTTTTAAAAGGGCAAACAACCTGATTGCCAGCAATGTGCAGTATATAAGCGCCCCTTGAATTTTTGGCCTTCTCAAATTCTCCCTGCCCCCGATCCTCCACTGCTCTTTATTTAAAAATAAAAATCACCTTTTTGGAAGGAAGAAGGGTCGTTTCAAAGAGGAAAAGGTTGTGTCGTTTAAATGGCTAGACCAGGAAGGAGATGCCTGTTTGCTTTATAGCTAGTAAAATGCATCCTCTTCTAGGGTGAAATTCACTGCTGTGCAGAAACCCAGCTCCTAGGCAGCACTCGTAGTAGGACTTATGTGGTTCATAAGACTCATGCTTATCATCTTATAGGAGTGAAGTCACCCCTTCCCTCCCCCCCCGCCTCTAAACAGTGGGCCACACGTTCTCCGCATTAAATGATCACCCTCACACAGACACATTAGGCCTGATCAAGCTGAAGCACATGAGTAATCTCAGGGACCTCAGTGCAACTGGCCACATGCTTGAAGTTAAGCACAGGCTTAAGTGCTTTGCTGGGTCAGGGCAGAGCACTCAGCACCTCGCAGGATCTACCCTTTGCTGCTCATTCCTGTCTAGGGTGACCAGATAGAAAGTGTGAACAATCAGGACAGGAGGTGAGGGGTCATAGGCACCTATATAAGAAAAAGCCCCGAATAGCAGGATTGTTCCTATCAAATCGGGACATCCTATTCCTGTCTCGTGGCTTAAGTGTTAGTGACCAAGTTCAATCGGATCTGTTCTACAGGAAAAACACTCCTGTAGGCCGAGGAGTCCTGAAGGCATATTTCAGCACTCCACCTCCTCTGCCTCTTCTTGCCTGGGTGAACCTTCATTCCGGCGGTCAAGTATTTGCATTTCCTTCAGACCAATCTGTCACCGAAACGAACATCTTGTCTTGGCTCGAGAAATTAAAAGCCGGACTCGAGATTCCCAGCAGTAAGTATGAAGGCTTGTCGGATGTTTCTAGGCACTGCGCTCAATTGTCTGTCATGGTTATTTAATGATGGGAAAGTTCAGTTATTCTGTGCTTGAGCCAAAGCACAAATAGTCCAGCCAGAAAAGACTGCTCGGATTCTGCAGTCTGAGGTGCTGTGCTTTGCGGGACAGCTGGGGGGGGATTGTTCTGAACTGCCATCAGTTTTCTGCAATAATCCACAAAACTGTATTTGACGCCTGTTACTGAGAACTGGGCTTTCTCAATGCTGATTGCTAATGAAAAGCCTCCTGCGTCTGCCTCAGCTCTCATACTAGGAACTTTCAGTGCTAGGCGTGCAGCCTTCCCGTGCATTTACTGGCAAAGTGCAGTATCGGTGGAAAGGGATCTGGTGCCTCGTACTGTAAATTCTTTGAAGATGGAGTATTGTCGTTATTGGTAACTGTGCAGTGGCTTGTGTGACTCAGGAACTGAGGCGGAAAAAGCCAAAACGCTTTTCATAAGTCGTCCCTACAACAATTTCAGACTCACAGTCACTAAACTAACACTCAACTTTGGAGCAATGTGAAATACAAACCTGGTGGATTGTTAATGACACTGGGGCAAAACCAGGTGTTTTCTGAGGAGATAACCTAGGGCCTGATCCAAACCCCATTGAAGTCAATGGAAAGACTCCAGTGGGTTTTGGGTTAGCTTCCTAGTGGCCAATAACAAGATTGTGGACATCCCTTTTTAACATCCCATGTGTTGTCCCCAAATCTCTTTCCCTTCACAGCTAAAGACATCTCTACATGCCCATCTACATGCCCATGTACTCTGGGTAGTTTCTGGTAAGTGGAGTCTTTTTCTCCACTGGAATAATTCCTTAGAGATCTTAATTTCCAAACCATTTCCAGTCAGTGTCTACAGAACCAACGGCGATATTCTTTATACTACGGTTGAGCTCAGGATAGCACCTGGATCCTATGGCGATAGGTGTAGTGATGGGGCTGATTGATAGCGGGGATGGCACAGGCAAACAGGAGATGGAACCTGAGTGCTAACATCTAGCTCCCTTCCCGTACGACTCTTTCCAAACTAAAATTTGGATAAGCTGGTTTGACTGGATTCTAGAGTGCTTGTTTAAAGCCAACTTATCCAAACCCAGCAGATGTTGGCAATGTCAGTGCGACTCACATACAGCAGCTTGGACAAGGGGACACACTTTCTGCCAACGTTCTTGTTGAAATACACGTCCCTTTCTTCCGTCGCAATAGTTCAGAATTTGAGACGTTTTGAGAAGTGCTAAACCTCTGGAGACGGTTTGCCAATTTGTCCCCCTCTAGTGGCAGGGCCACATATTAGGTTTATGAGTCTGCTACTGCTTCCTGGTAGTAGACTGGTTGTTGGTGGAGATTGAACTCAGGACAGGGCTTCTACTTCCTGAGCTAAGAATTGATGTGTGCACCGTGAGGCAGCGGCACACTCATAAACCTGTTACGTGGTCCGGCAACTAGAGGGAGACAAAGCTCCACACTGTGGTAATAGGTGAAGCTTTTGTGGTTATAAAAGGCCCTCAACAACTGCATCGAATTTTAGTTTAGAAAGAGTCTGAAGACTAATTTATCTCATGCTTTAATCCCACAAACTATAGACTTACCATTGAAAACATACTTAAGAACCTGTCTTATTTAATGGAAACAGATTCACCTCACTTCCTTTCAGTAGTTTTCTTGGGCAAGATAACGATCTCCTACCTCCTGTTGTCAGCCGAGTAAAGCTCAATTTCTCGCCTTTCTGTCCAATCTCCCAATCTTGGTAGGCCCTAAATGACACCAGTATCGTTCAATCTTTTGTGTTTCCCCAGCTCCGTGCAAACAATCTGAATCTGCTCACCTTATACTGAAGGGATCATTTTCTCTATCGCGTTTCATTTGTCATTCATTTCACATCCAGCTCATGGCAGGACTGGGGCCTTCGTGTCGAATTCACCCGTGGGCAGAGTAAGGACAGTGTCCCGGTGATGTCCCACATAAGCCCTTTTCAGCCTTTAAGTCCCAATTTCACCTTCTGTGCATATGTTTATGCCTTGCATACTATATTTCTGTTAGGGCATTTGCCTTTTGTAGAAACCTCATTCAGCCGTACACACTCAATTGTTTCTTAATTCAGGCCCCAGTTCAACAGAGCATTTAAGCACATGGTTAAGTCCCCAGTGAAAGCTTTTTTTAAAATATTATTGTTAGAGGTGTCCCAACTGCTTCATATGGCAGATGTGATTTCTGCCTCCTCCCTGTTCAGCTGTGATATACTAATGCACCAGAAGGAGATTTCCTTTGTACTTAGAACAGAAGATTTGTCTTAATACTAGTCCTCTCTTCTATAGTCAAAACAATAGACAAGACATCCACTGTCCACCTTTTTCAACATTCTTAATGCTGAAGGTGTAGATTTACAAAGCAACTTTCATGGTGGGTGGGTCCAGTTTGGCTCTAGTTAAATAAGCTCAGCGTGGTTCCCTTGTGCAGCAATTCTAGAAGAGCAAAAATAACTTTGAAGCAAAGAGCTTTATTTGCGCACATAAGAACATAATGCACAATACATAATACACATCAAACACAATACACATAACACATGATAACCAAAGCCTGTTGGTTTGCATTAAATCTTTCTAGGGACAAAATGATTTGAAGGACGGGGATAAATGTGATGCAAAGCTTGAAATTTAAAAAAAACAAAACACAACTTTGGGGGGAAATGGAGATGTTTTGAAAAAACACCAGTTTCTCCTGTGCAAAACAAGAATATGGTATTTAGAGTCCTGTCACTTTAAAACTCCTCTAGCCCTTTGGGAACTTTTTATAGGCGCTCACAGTCTTACGCACTGGACTTCACCTTGGAGGGCAAGAGATCTCCTCTACTACAGGAGAAATTTAAAAGGGCCAGGACTGCATATTGTATTTATTAAATGACTGTATTATTGTCCTCAATTTGAAGGCCGTGTTTAAAGAAGAAATCCAATTTCAAAAATACAAATTCTTTCCAGCCATGAGAAAAACCAATGTCCCGAGTAGCTAATGGAAACTATAGTGAAATTGTGATTTCCATTACTGACTGAAACTGCTCTGGCCAAACTGTTATGCTAAAGAGAGAAATGCTAGGCCCTGGCCTGGACTGAGAATCGCACAGTGAGGGGTCTATAGGGTCGTGCAGTTCTCAGTGCAAGATCTGGGCCTACCTGCCATCCGTTGTGTCCCAACCCTCGGTCATTAACTTCTGATTGTGTCTCTTCTCAGCTACTTTGTCTGATGAAGCCTGGAAGCCTCCTCTTCCTGCTTACAATTTCTTACGCATGATGGAGGCCACCCTGCCTGAATTCACAGTGCACACAGTTTATAGTCGTGGTGGTACCGAGGACCTGCAGCAGACAGAAGAGGTCTCTGAAGAGAAGTCGACGGTCCGAGAGGAGCAGGTGGAAGAACCGGGGCTGGAAGCAGAGAAAGGCCAGTCGCCAGGGAGAGACTTGCGTGGCACGGTCCCAAGGCTCGTAGGAAGAGAGAAGCCGCCCAAGCGACACACAGAGCTGTGATGGCCAATGATCAGCCTACGGGTGCTAACGAAGGCCGTTAGAAGGGTGGCCAGAATGTTTCACCCATGCCGATCCGATCTTTAAAATGGTCATAGCGATTCTTTAAAACCAAAAGGGATGTGGTTGTGTGAAACTTGAGTGAAGGCCGCAGCAGGATTACGGATTAAAGCCCGATTTCCAAGCCGATCAAGCTCAGGTCATTTTGTCTAGCGCTATGATCTGTGTTACCACAGCCAGGCTCTGAGAATGTTCCTGGCTGCTGCGGGAGCATCCATCAGGTCACCACTTAAATCTCACCTATTGTATTGCGTTTCATGGTAAATCAGGAAGGGAAATAGCCTAGCGTTCTGCATTTTGCAAGCTGATCAGGATGTGTGAACAAGCTAATTCCTATTGCTGAGGGCTCTGTCCACACACCGAACTATCCCAGTCCAGTTAAAGCCATAGTGTATGTGCAGTTATACTGGTATAAATGTGATTACGCCAGCATAAGGCACCTTTACACCAGTATAACTGTGTCCACACTAGGGGTATGTCTACACTACCCGCCGGATCAGCGGGAAGTGATCGATCCACCGAAGGTCGATTTATCGGGTCTAGTCTAGACGTGATAAATCGACCCCCGAGCGCTCTCCCGTCGACTCCAGTACTTCAGCACCACGAGTGGCGCAGGCGGAGTCGATGGGGGAGCGGCAGCAGTCGACTCACCACGGTGAAGACACCACGGTAAGTCGATCTAAGTACGTCAACTTCAGCTATGTTATTCACGTAGCTGAAGTTGCATAACTTAGATCGATCCCTCTCTTCCCCCCCAGTGTAGATCAGGCCTAGGAGCTGTACGGATATAACTATGTCGGTAGAAAAATCGCCCCCCTCCTGGAAATAGTGACATCAGTACAAAAGCTGCGTGTGGCGCTGGCCTGAGAAAAGGAGAGCTGAGTGGGGAAGACAAACACACTGGACTTCCCAGGTCTTGACTTTCCCCTGACATGTTTGTGTGTGACTGCTAGCTCTGCTCAGCTGAATCCATCACCCTGCTGTTTCTGAGCAGGGATGGGGCCGGACGTAAAAACTGGCTGGCTCCCTGCTGGCTGTTTGCCGGCAGCCGTCACCAGTTCCTCCCGTGATGACTAGTCAGGGGGCTGCGACCTGAGCAGACTAGGGCGGGAGAGCGCGGAAGGACAGCCATTCAGAGCTGTGCAAAAGGCATCAGGGTTTAAAGGGAAGAGTCTGCAGTGACCCAGGCTGGAGAGCAAAGGTTGCTACTGATGCCGGGAGATCTGTTTCACATCCTCTCCCAGACTGGGAGACTTACTGCCCAGGAAAAAGGCAGCATCCCTTTGGCGCTTGCTTCCCTTTTACAATCAGCGGTGGTGGTGATCTGTGTTCCCTCTAAGGGGCACGGCTGCGCGGGAGGCTGCACACTTAATTAGCAGAGCCGCGCAGGCGTGCACACTGCACTCAGGGGCCTGGCCACAGGTGGGCCTGGAAGATGGCAGTGGGGTGAGGTGGGGGCTGGTGATGGGAGAGCTTGGGGTGTGCAGGACTCCGGCAATTCCCCAACCCCCAGGGCTGCAGCGAGGAGAGAGGCACCTCTCCTTCCCAGCTCTGGGGCTGCAGCTGTGGGGTGAGGCGTCTCTTCCTCCCAGCTCCGGGGCTGCGGCTGTGCGGCGAGACGTCTCTTCCTCCCAGCTCCGGGGCTGCGGCTGTGGGGCGAGACGTCTCTCCCTCCCAGCTCCGGGGCTGTGGCTGTGGGGCGAGACGTCTCTTCCTCCCAGCTCCGTTGCTGCGGCTGTGGGGCAAGACGTCTCTCCCTCCCAGCTCTGGGGCTGCGGCAATGGGGCGAGGTGCCTTTCCCTCCCAGCCCCAGGGCTCTGGCGATGGGCGAGACGTCTCTCCCTCCCCACTCTGGGGCTGTGGCGATGGGGCGAGGTGCCTCTTCCTCCCAGCTCTGGGGCTGCAGTGAGGGGGAGAAAAACTCTCCCCCAGCCCAAGTGCTGCTGTGGGGAGAGAGGGCTGGGGGGAGTCCTCTCTCCACGCTGCAGCCCAGGGGCAGCCTGCACCCCAAACCCCACATCCCTGGCCCCACCCCAGAGCCTGCACCTCCAGCTGGAGCTCTCCCCCCCGTGCCCCAACCCTCTGCCCCAGCCCTGAGCTCCCTCCCAAACTCCAAACCCCTCAGCCCCACCTCCACCACACATCACCTCCATATTGGTGCACATAACAAAATTAATTCTGCACATGGGTGGGAAAAATTAGCGGGAACATTGATGGTAACATATTCATTGGTGGGGCCTAATCCACAGGGGCTACTCATGAGCACGGGCTGCAGGATCAGGCGCCTGGTAGGTTTGGGAAGAAGTTTAAGGCCTGGTCAAGACCCGTTGAAGGCCGTGGGAATGTTTGTGCACTGGATCAGCTGGCATCAGCTTATTTCAACAAACTGCCCTTGGAACAAGCCCTTGACACCACTGGGCTCAATTTCCCAGTCTCCTTTATAGTGTTAACAACAACAAAAAATGCTAATCAGTTGCTCAGAGCATTGTAAACGCTGGGTTTTTCCAGACTTGCATGCTGCCTAGGTGCCCAAGTGATGGGAGTTATTTGAAATGCCTGGGTAGAGAGAAATAGACCTAGAGCCGTTTGGTTTTCTCAAGGGCCCTGACTGGAACGGACCATTTCTTGACCTAGTTTTGAAGGCAGGCTTCAAAGCGGAAGTTTCTTTTTTCCCCCCCAAGGTTGTATTATAAATCTAACATCGGCCTGTCGATTAATTGCAGTTAATTCATGAGATTAACTCAAAAAAATTAATCGCGATTAATCGCAGTTTTAATCGCACTGTTAAGCAACAGAATACCAATTGAAATGTATTGAATATTTTTGGATGTTTTTCTACATTTTCAAATATATTGATTTCTATTACAACACAGAATAAAGAGTGTACAGTGCTCACTTTATATTATTATTTTTATTACAAAAATTTGCACCATAAAAATGACAAACAAAAGAAATAGTATTTTTCAATGTATCTTTTCAATCCCATAATGCAATCTCTTTATCAGAAATGTGCAACTTACAAATGTAGACTTTTTTTTTTGTTACGTAACTGCACTCAAAAACGAAACTATGTAAAACTTCAGAGCCTAAAAGTCCACTCAGTCCCACTTCTTGTTTAGCCAATCGCTAAGACAAACAAGTTTGTTTACATTTACGGGAGATAATGCTGCCCACTTCTTGTTTACAATGTCACCAGAAAGTGAGAACAGGCATTCGCATGGGACTTTTGTAGCCACCATTGCAAGATATTTATGTGCCAGATATAAAATTTTTATTAAAGCTAATGTTAAAATTATATAATACACATTGAGTTGAGAACAGTGTGTCTGTACTATCCGGGTATAGTGCTTAGATAATCCACAGGTGCAAAGTTTGTTTAAAAACTCATAAGATACATATAGTACATAATCTGCAATAACCCAAATTCAGATGAATAAATTTACATTAAGTTATACAGAGAGTTGGTTGGTTGCTGGTCATGAGCCCATGTGGAGTTCTCTGCTAGCAGCAGGGAGAGCTTGCTGGCATTAGCCACTATACACAGAGTTACACTCCAATAATTGTCACATTGGGCACTGTTGAAATCTAAGTGAGTTTTACTGTTGACGGTAGTGGGAGCTGGAGTGGACCCTTCACCGCCCCCCGAACAAGGCCCCATACGCTGCTCAAGACCCCCAGGCTTATGGAGGCTTTAAATTATGCCCAGTTTAGGCTCTTTGCTGTCATGAACTTCACTCTTGGTTCATAGGCACAACCAGTAAGGGAAATTCCATCCACTGTTCACAGCTCTTGGAGAAAAAAAACAACAAAGGATTATTAAGATGCCTATGCCAGAAATCTTTAAACGGAGCCAAAGGGAATGAAGGCTATTAATATCCCTTCTTTGTCTAATGCACATTTAATAGCAATGCAGCCTTTGTGTGGGAGCAGGTAAAAGTTTTCATGACAGCAAATGACCCAGTACAGGTATGTTGTTGTCTTTTATCTACACCAGATTGAATCTAAATACTAAAATCTTAGGCTGGCACTATTCATTTTGGGCCAGATCCAGGAAATGTCCCTGTGCTAAATGTTAAATCGAGATTGGGTGTCTTGCTGGCTTGTTCTGAAGTTATTGGCTTGGTTCAGGAATCACTGAACCAAGCCTGTGTTATGCAGGGGATCGGTCTGAATGATCACAGTTGCTCTAAAATCTAGGACTGACTGCTCGGGTGAGTAGCCGTGCTGTGGGACTACTCACCCGAGTAAAGCTAACCATGTGCAGAAGGGTTTGCAGGATCAGCGCCCTGAGTAGTCCCATTGAAGTCAGTGGCAGTTTTGCCTGAGTGAGGAGCACAGTATCACATCCTAAAACAGGTTAGATGATTCAATTTAGTTTGGGATTTTTACCTGAGAAGCTTTACTGAATTTTCCGACACCAGCAGAAAACTTAAGACCAGACAGATCCGTGCATACAGGAGAGAACTCATCAGATGTCTGATGTATACGGCTGCAGTGTTTGGTTATCATCAGGGTGCTCACAGTTCTCTTCATCAGCTGACAAAAGGACTCTGGGTTACATTCATGTATTTGCTTTGGGTCTGAAGCAATCCCGGGGAAGGATAACAGATGGACACAGCAGCAAGAGAAAAAAATCTCAACAAACCCAATCCATTCAGGTGGTTTTGAGTGAAAAAAAAATACTGTGTTTGCAGGAAAAGGAAGAGGTCTTGAATCCTTAGGGTACATCTACACGGCAGTGTAACCCCAGAGTCCAGACTCAGGGTCAAGGCTAACTCCCCTTCTGTCTAAACACAAATCACACTAGTCCAAGGCTCGGACCCGGCGTCCCAGGACCCCCCAGGGATGCAGGGTCTGAGCCTGAGTCAAGCTGGGACCCAGGGTTCTAGCCGTATTGCTTCGCAGCATAGACATAGTCCCACTGGACTCGTGCTCTGGGAGTCTGCCAAAAGTGTCCCACACGCCAACTTTCTTTGTTCTCTGGACAGTCAACTTTGGTGGACAGTCAAGTTTTCCCATGCTGCACCACGAACAAAGGGCTAGAACCACAGGCGCCAACTTTCCCCGGCGCCGGTGGGGGCTCGTGTCCCCCTGCCCTGCCCCCATTCCAATCCCTTCCCCAAAGT